CAGGCCAGGCTGGCTTGCTTCAGGCCAGGCTGGCTTGCTGGAAAAGCCAACTGATTTACTAAACGTAGGGAAATAATGTTCGTACGAATGTGAAAGATGTGGCCAATGAGGAACGGTGTTGCAAGAGGTGTTTGTGCCCAGGCGACACACGTCATAAAGAAAGACGGGATCTTTTATCTCTCTAACTAAAAAATAATAAAGCAGAGAAAAGACTGTCAATCGTCCCAAAGGTGGTTTTTTTTTCCCCAAGGGGCAACAGGACTTTCTTAAGTTTTTTCTTGAAGAGGTTTCGCTTTTCATCTTAAGGAGCTTCCTCCGTTCTGAGGGAATGGGGGAGGATGGAGGGATTTATATCCCTTGCAGTCACCATTTGCACTATTCAGGTGGCCCTCAGGGCCCAGGTAAGCCCCCAGGTGGCCTCAGGGACTCCCAGAGAGAGAGAGAGAGTTGAATATAAATCCTCCCATCCTCCAGTGTTTGGCTAGAACTGAAGAAGCTGCTTGGAGGAGAAGCAAAACGTCTTCAATTTATTAAATTTATTAAATTTATATGCCGCCCTTTTCCCCCGAAGGGGACTCAAGGGAAAAGAGAGAAACTCCCGTTGCCTCTGGAAGAATCACTTTGGGGATTGCCAAACATAATCTTAACAAAAGGCTTCAAATATTTCTCCCCCCCCCCCCCCCCCAATGTTTTATGCAGCTCAGCGGAGAGCGGAGAGCTTCCTGTCCACCATAACGGAAGATGCTGGGCAAACTGGGCCGGGGGACTCTCTCCCTTATCCACCCGATAGACTGCTACAGTCCTCCCTCAAGGAGGCTCGTCTGCACGGGGACCTTCCGCTTGGGGAAGCTGCTCCAAGTGGTGGGCCTGGGCCTTGCACCCAGGACCGGTCGGCCTCCTCCTTCCTCACCGAGGACGGCTGGCGGGGCGACACGATTTTGGACCTGTCAGATTTCAGCGTCCGGCTGGCGGTCTCCCCCAAGGCCTTCCTGCCCCCCAGGAAGCCAGCCTCGAGTCGGGCCGACGTACAGACCCGCTGGGGTGGTGAGGTGGGGGGTGCTCTGCCGGACGCTGGCGTGAAGCAGTCTTGGGACTTCCGGGGCGCTGCAGAGGGAGGGTGCAGCTCAGCCCCGGGCCCAGACACGGCTCTGGGGGGTCCCTTCCCTTTCGTGGGCTCTGAGGCTCTCTCGTTCGGATCGGACACCGCAGAATCCCCACCGAAGGCCCTGCCCTCTGCCAGCCTCCAGTCTGCCCCAGAAGCGGCCCCACTCCGTCCCCCACCGGGTGCCAACGCCTGTGGGCTTCCTCAGGGGAGGGGCTCCCTGGATCCCGGCCTCTCGGTGAAGATCCCAGGCCAGGAGGGGCTGGACGTCACCTGTCTTGGTCACCTGGCTGAGTCCACAGCCGTCTCGGACCTGGGAACGATGGTGGCTGAGCCGGGCTCTGTCCTGGGGGTCAGTGGGACTCTTGACGGATGCTCGGCGAGAGGAAGGTCTCCGGGCAGGTGCTCAGCGGCCAGCACGGAGCGCTATTTTTCGTGCGTGAGTGAATGTTGGCCCAGTGCTGTGGACAGCCCAGGATACGGCTGCGTTCATGAGTGGGAAGAGGGGAGGGCTGCCCCTAGTGGCCCCACAGGCGGCTGCAACGCCAGCAAGGGAGTTTGGTGTGGTGGGCCTCCCTCCTGCATGGGGAAGGGTCAGAGAACTCCCCCCACCAGAGGGGCTGCCCGGATCTTTCCGAAGGGGGCTCCTTGGGAAGGTTCTGCACTGGCAACCGGGGGGCCCGCTGAGACTCGGGGGCTGCCTGTGGAACACCAGGGGCCGAGGGAAGAGAGGGCAGAGGCTGAGGGCCTGGGAGGGCAGCTTCCGCGACCGGCTCTCTCGGCAGGAGAGGGGCAGCTGAACCCGTCCACTCAAGACACCGTCCCCGTCCATTGGCCGTCAGAAGAGAGGAGTCGTTTCGGTCCGCCTGGGCCCAGCTGCACTCTGGGCGACACAGAGGTGGCCCCATGGGCCCCTGCCAGCGTTGGAGAAGAGCCCCCCAACACTCTGGATGCCCAGCTGCGGGCGATGATGCTGGCCACCAGGGTCGCCCACTCCCCACTCCTCCTCTCGAATCGGAAATGCTGCCCTGTGGCCCCCTGGCCCCAAAGCCCCTCCACGGGGACCCTTCCTCAGCAGAGCCCCAGCGCTTCCTCTCTCTTTGAGGAGTCCCTGGAGATGCCCAGGCGCCCCAGGAGAGTCAGGAGGGGCCCCAGATCGGCTTCACCCCGAGGGGCTGCCGCGCTCAGTCGCTCACCTCCCCTGGCCAGAGAGGCAGAGGAGGCGGGGGAGGGCAGGGCCCCCTCGGCCGTTCCCAGCCCTTGGGGCGGCTCCCTTGCGAGCTCAAGGGGGGAGGTGGGCCGAGGGGAAGGCCCCTGCGGGAGGGCAGAGTCGGGGGCAGGAGGGGCCTCTGTGGGGGACACTGCTCAGGGCTTCCCCGAGGGTGGGCCCCTGGGTGCCATGGGGTCTCCGGCCCAGCCAGGGGAGAAGGCCTCCAGGGTCAGTTTCAGCCGGCTGTCTGGGAGGGGCCCCTCTGCCACTCGCCCCCCAGGGAGGCTGAGCCCCATTCGCCAGGAGGTGCCACTGTCGCCGGGGGGCCGCCCCGCGAGCCTGAGTGCCACGGAGCCCGTGGAACACCTCTACGTGGACGAGGAAGAGGGCCAGACCCTCATCGAACGGCACCTGCCCACCACGGACGACTCCGGGCCCAGCGGCTCCGAAGACACCCTCCCCCTCTGCGACTGGCGGGCGTGGGCCCGTCAGGAAGGGCAGCGGGGCAGGCATGGCAACGGGGAAGGCGCCCCCTTGAACCCGGAGCACCTGACCGACCAAGCTCTGGCACGAAAGCTGCGGGAGTTGGGGGCCGACCCGGGGCCGGTGACCCCCCTCACACGGAGGCTGTACGTGCGGCTCTTGGAGAGGCTGAGCAGGGACCCTGAGACACCCGCCCGGAGGGGCTCTGCAGGTTGGTGCCTCTGGGGGAAGGGACCCTCCTGGGGGGTTGAGGAGGGAGAGCGGGAAGGAGGGAGTTTGGAAAGTAAATTGGGGTGGGGGCAAAGTGGGGGAGATGAGCTCTCGGGGGAAGGGGGAGGGGTTTGGGCCGGGGTCTCGGGTGCAAGAGGTGAGGTCATGGCATTAAGGGAGCAGGAGGGGGGGGTTCCAGATTGGCCCTCTTCTCGGAGGAGCTCAAGATGTGGGGGGGGGATTTGACCCGCCAGAGCCCCCCCCCCTGTCCCGGTGGACCCGGCTCCTCCTTGGAGTCCTGGACTGACCCTCCCCTTGTGCTCAGCCTACAGCCCGGAGCTGGACTCTGCCCTGCGCACCTACCGCATCCCCCCCTCCAAAGCCGACGAGATGGCTCTGGCCGCAGAGTTTGACCAGCCGGACAAGAGCCGGCGGTGGCGGGAGGGGCTGCTCAAGTCCAGCTTCAACTACCTGCTGCTGGACCCCAGGTAGGAGGAGGAGGAGACCCTCGGAGGCAGCAGGGGGCTGGGGGTGGGGGAGAACATGGCTGTGGCTGATGGTCTCGTGGCTCTTGCTCTTCCGCAGGGTGACCCAGAACCTGCCCGCCCGCTGTCAGCTGCTCAGCTCGGCCGAGGCCTTCCGGACGTTCGTCCGTGCCATCTTCTACGTGGGCAAGGGGACGCGCGGCAGGCCCTACCGCCACCTCTACGAAGCCTTGACCCACCACCGGGAGGGCCAGGGGAAGCCGGCAAGACAGGTGGGTGGGTGGGCTTAACAGCTCTGGGACCTTCTGGGGAGGGTTTTCATCAGCTGCCTCCTCCTCCTCTCCTCCTCCTCTTCCTCCTCTTCTTCCTCCTCCTCTTCCTCCTCTTCCTCCTCCTCCTCCTCTTCCTCCTCCTCCTCCTCTTCTTCCTCCTCCTCCTCCTCCTCTTCTTCCTCTTCCTCCTCCTCCTCCTCCTCCTCCTCCCCCTCCTCCTCCTCTAAGCGTGGAGCTTCCAAATTCAGGAGGAGTCTAGCTTTGATCCCCGGAGGTCGGTCTTTGGCTGCTTGGTATTGAAACCTCTGAGTGCCTGGCCTTCGGCTTGGAAGCAGCTCTCCTGCCCCCTCCCCAAGTGGGGGGGGGTTGGATTGCAAACCCCAGAATTCCTGCGTCTCCCCCTATCACCACCAGAACTCATGGGAGTGGGGGGCTGCAATTTGGGGATCCTGGATTTGTCTGTCCATCTTGGCGGCCCCCCTCCCCTTTCACCCGGGGTCTCCCTCTGCCCTGCAGGTCTCCTCCAAAGTCCAGCACATCCTGGAGATCTGGGCGGGGGGCCAGGGGGTCGTCTCCATGCACTGCTTCCAGAACGTCGTTCCTGTGGAGGCTTACACCCGCGAGGCCTGCATGGTGGACGCCATCGGTAAGGGCTCTGGGGGGTGTGGGTGGGGGGCACAGAACACGGGGAGGGGCTCCCTCTTCCTTGCAGGATCCCTTTTTCCTCGCGCACCCAGGTGGGGGGGGGGGATGTCTGATTCCCAGAATCCCTCAGCCGGGCGTGCAACCTTAGCCCCTTCACGACTGGTGGACTCCAACTCCCACAATCCCTCAGCCAGCATGGCTGACTGGGGGGTTCTGGGAGATGGAGTCCACCCATTCATTACCAAGGCGCTCAGGTTGGAGACCCCTGTTCTAATCCCAGCCCCCGCCCAAGGCAGGAGTGAGTTTCATCCATTATTCTTTATACATCTGACCACAGCTGCTCCAGCCCTCTCCCCCCCCACTCCTGAGACCCTCCTGCCCCAGGCGTTGGGAGACTGGGCATTTGGCGGTGTGATTGCAAGCCCTTTCTCTCTCCTGCCTCCCCAGGCCTGAAGATGCTGACCAATCAGAAGAAGGGGAATTACTACGGCCTCGTGGCCGGCTGGCCGATGAAACGCCGGAGGAACCTGGGGGTCTTTCTCCTCCACCGGGCTCTCCGGATCTTCCTGGGCGAGGGCGAGCGGCAGCTGCGGCCTGCTGATATCTGAAGTGGCCCTTGAGCAGAGGGGCCCCTGGAGGGCCTCTTCCCCCCTCCCTCAAGCAGAACCTCTGGGCCTGGAGTTCTTCTGGGGGGCTCAAGCCAATCCCTCCTTCACACAATCCAGAATCCCAGATTCCGGAATCGCTCATCCCCAGCTCCTGCGCTGGACGCTGAGCGGAGATGGAAGGCTGCACCCGTGTTCGGAAGTGAGTTGGGGTGACCTGCAGGAGCCCTGCTGGGTGCTGGCACGCCTGGTGTGGGCAGGGGTCCCAGTGGCGTCCAGTCACGTGGTGCGAGAGGGTCTCCTTCCGCAGAGTCACAGGGCGATGCAGTGGTGGGGCTCAAGGACCTTCCCAAACAAGAGGGGAGCAGTCATGGGCTCACCCCCCCAACCCTCCGTCCCTGGGGGACCCTGGGGAGGGGTCTTCCTGCACCTTAAGAAACGCCAGTCGCCTCTTCTCTTCTGGGAACGAAGGTGGGACCCTTTTTATTGGGGGCAGCGGGGGCTTGTTTTAAACTGTGTTTTTAAAGATTTCTCCTTTTGCCGCTCCCCTGGGACTGGGGGCATTAAACGAGATTATTTTGGGATGTGACGAGTGGAGCTGGATTCCTTGGGTCCTTCTTGAAATGGGGAGGGGGTGCAATTAAGGAGGGGAAAGGAAAGGATTAGCAACATCTCTCTTTACCGGCAGTCCTCGACATACGATCAATCGCTTAGTGCAGTGTTTCTCAACCTTGGCAACTTGAAGATGTCCGGACTTCAACTCCCAGAATTCCCCAGCCAGCATTCGCTGGCTGGGGAATTCTGGGAGTTGAAGTCGGGACATCTTCAAGTTACCAAGGTTGAGAAACACTGTCCTAACCACTGCTGGGGAATTCTGGGAGTTGAAGTCCGGACATCTTCAAGTTGCCAAGGTTGAGAAACACTGGCTTAGTGACTGTTACGGGTTCTGACGAACACTCCTCCACCAAAACGTACTTAGCGCTGGGATTCGAAGTTCTGACGAAGGGCCACCCGCCCCCCCCTCCCCTCATCCTGTAACCGCATTTTGGGCCTTTGTGCAAGTGGCTTTAATTTACCCTCCCTCTCAGACGAAATATTTACTTCTTTATTAAATTTATTTCCCGCCTTTCGTCTTGTTTCTACTGCGGACAATGGACTCGCTTAATGACGGCAATCTTCACTTTACAGCTGCTTTACAAAAAAAAAGGTTGTAAAATTGGGTCGGTCACGTGGGTGCCTTGACTTAGGACCGTCCCGACAGACGACAGAAACCCCGGGGCCATAATTTGAGGACTAGCAAAGTCTCTTCTTGAAAGACCTCCAGGGATGAAGCCCCCACAAGTTCTGGTGGCCAGCAGTTCCACTGGTTAATTGTTAGGAAGTTTCTCTTTTCATCCCAAGTTGCTTCTCTCCTTGGTTAGTTTCCATCCATTGCTTCTTGTTCTGCCTTCGGGGGGGCTCTTTGGAGAACAGGTTGACCCCCCCCCTCTTCTTTGGGGCAGCCCCTCAAATATTGGAAGGCTGCTCTCCTGTCTCCCCTGGTCCTCCTTTCCTCTCGCCAGACCCAAATCCTGCAATCTTCCCGGCCTTTAATCACCTTAGTTCAGACTTTTAAGACTTGTGGACTTCAACTCCCAGAATTCCCCAGCTAGGCTGGCTGGGGAATTCTGGGAGTTGAAGTCCACAAGTCAGTTCCCAACTTTGGAACCCCCCCCACCCCCGCCTGAGTTGCCGTTCTCTGCACTTTTCGCAAGAAGAGCCCCTGTTATCTGTTCAGCTGTGGCGCCGTTGAATCTTCTCCCTGCAAATGTGGCCCTCCATCTTTTCCAGCCCTTCGTTGGGGTGGGGTGGGGCTTCCTGGGATGGGAGTGGGTGGTGGTGGTCTACTTTCTATGGTGGGAAAACAGGAGGGGGGGATTGTACGGAGTTAGATGCTAGGTAGCCATAACAACATTCTTTCTAGAAAGCCAAGATCATCATCCTTTGTCTCTGCCCTGCCCTCTGCACCTGACCTGAACAGGATGGGTGGAATTGCCAGCGTGGCAGTGGGAGATGGGACTATGGGGTGGGCTTGTGGGTGGGTGGGTGGGGGCAGGATTTATTTATTTAGTGAATTTATAGGCCGCCCAATCCCGGAGGACTCTTGAACTTTCAACTGGGTGGGGAAAACCGGGAAGCCTTCAGATTCGGGTTTCCCCAGATGTGCCAACGTGGCTCTCTTCATCAATTGGGACTTTGAGGAATCCTTTGCCTTGGATTCTGATTTAATTTTGGGTGCTATTTGGGACCCTGAGATTATTGCTGTAATGTCTGCCAGTGTTCCAACCAGAAGAAAAAATAGTTTTTTTTTAATCTTTTGTGTTTTCAGTTCATTTTTTTTAAAAAATCTTCTCCTCTAGCTTTGTTATGTCTTAATTTTTTTTCTTTTGTATTTTAATCCTTCGAATAAAATTGGGGGGAGGGAAAGAAAGGGGGGGTGCTTTCCCCATCCTTTTTTGGGGGGTGGGGCAGAGGAAATTGGTGTAAGGGGAACAGCTCAGCCCTTCCTGAGGCAGATGGGCGAGCGGGCACTGGCTGGCACAGAGGTGGCACAGATGCTGCTTTGCACCTAAAATTGTCTTTGAGGTCCAGGGGGAAAAAATAAGGTGGGGGCCTCTCTTACCAGCAATCCCCCTTGGCCTGACCTTCAGTTGGAGCCCCCCCCCCCGTTTCCTGCGTTGTCTGATGCCCAGCTAAATGCCCAGGCTGCCATCTCACGAAGACATCTAAAAACCACTAATCCCTGGCAAAACATGAAAGCATGGAGATTGCCAAAGGGGGGGGATGACTTGTAGAGGGGGGGGGGGTGATCAGCCAGGCAAGAGGGGGGGGGAGCGGGTTGTATGGGTACAGGCCCATTTTTGGCCAAACCTTAGGATGGCTTGGCTCCAAGGAGACCCTAATGGGGGCCTGACTTGATGCTGGGTGGGGGCTGTGCTCCTCCTGGATTGAACCGGCCCCCAGCTGGCGGCAGCTCCTGGTTGGGGTGGGGGTGGGGAGAGCCCCCAAATTTAAACCGGGGTCTTTCCAGGGAGACTCTCTGAATTTCCCCCACGGAGCCCCTTCTGAAAACTACCTGGGTGCCCTGTTTGGAGGGGGGGGGGAAGGATCTGAATCAGGACTTTAATAGGCAGTCCCTGGCTTGCGACTCCTTGTTTAGTGACCGCTTGAAGCCACCCTGCCACTGAAAAGAGCGAGGGAGAGGAGAAAGAATAGAACAGTGTTTCTCAACCTTGGCAACTTGAAGATGTCCGGACTTCAACTCCCAGAATTCCCCAGCCAGCATTCGCTGGCTGGGGAATTCTGAGAGTTGAAGTCGGGACATCTTCAAGTTACCAAGGTTGAGAAACACTGTCCTAACCACTGCTGGGGAATTCTGGGAGTTGAAGTCCGGACATCTTCAAGTGGCCAAGGTTGAGAAACACTGGGATAAAGAAATATGGAAGGTGTGGGACAGTTTTTCCCACAGCCACTGCATCCTCCTTGGGGGGTCACGTGATAGAAATTGGGGCGTTTGGCATCTGGCAGGGCCTTATACTACCGTTTAGCATCCCAGGGTCAGGTGATTCCCCCCCCCCTTCTGCGACCTTCCGACAGCCAGAAGCCAGGTTCGCTTAATAACGGTGTTACTCACTTAACAACTTCAGGAACTTTGTAAAATGGGGCGGAACTCCCCCGTCCCGTTTAGCAAACAAATATTCTGAGTTTCTCTTGTGGTCGGAAGTTGAGGAAGTGGCAGCTGCATTCCTACCCGAGGGGGGAGAGGCCGAGAAAAGACCCCCCCCCCCGTGTGAAAGTCCCAGCCTCCTGACTCCCGGGAGGAGGCCGAGGCCGAAGCAGAGATTTTTTTGGGGGGGAGGGAAGGAACCCCCCCAAATGGCACCAAACTCTCCTGCCGGTGCCCGGCTGCCCCCCCTCCAAGCCCCAAAGTTGGGAGCTGGCACAGTTTACCCTGCAATACCACTGAGGGGGGGGGGGCGTTAGATACAGTTTCACAAAGTTTATTTACAAACACCGCGGGGGAGGGGGCACGTGTGTGTGTGTGTGGGGAGGATGGGATGGCAGGGATCTGGACCCCCCCCCCCTATTGGGCTTGAACGGCATCTCCTAAGTTGGAAAGAAGCGATGTGGGGAGGGGGCGACAGCCTCTCCCCCCGTCTGGTGGGCTCCAGCCACATTCACGGCCAGCATTCTCGGGGGTTGCAGCCCCCCCCCGTCTTTGAGGTGGGAGGGGGGACAGAGGCCGGGGAAGGTTCTGACAAGACAACTAGGCAGGGGGTGGTGGAGCCACCTGGGGGGGTAGGGGGGGCTTCGGCCCCACATCCTTCCCTCCCACCAGCAGCGTGGGAGAATTCCGCCTGCAAATTCCCGCAGCCTCTTCAGACGCAGCTGCGGTGGGGCAGAAAACGTCAGTGGTCCAGGTGCCCCCCCCCCGTGGCCCAGTCGAGGCATCAGGAACCAAGTCCCAGCATCCCTTTGCGGAGACTCCAGAGCCCATCATCCTGCTGCGAGGAGCAAAGCAGCCCCGCCTGTCCTCTGCCCGAAGTCTTGGGGTGCTGGCCAAACTTCTGCTTCCCGCCGTCCTTCGGTTCGAGGGCCCCCCCCCGCACGCCAGCTACGGGGCCCCCCAAGCAGGGAGACGAAGCACCGTCTCCCCCATCCGTGACGACTCTCGGCCTCCGCCGTAAGGAGCTCTCCTTGGGGCAGCCACAGGAGTGTGGCCCCGGGACCCTCAGGATGGACCCCCATCCGCCGACTACTTCTTCCCCGCCGGGGGGCCCTCTTCAGGAGGGAGGGGCTCAGGCTCCCAGAGGAGGAACTCATGCAGGAGGGTGTTGACCGTCTCTGGACACTCCAGCATCACCATGTGGCTCCCTTCGTCGATCACCTTCAGGAAGGCCAGCAGCAGGATCTGGGGGGGGGGCGAAAAGAGGGGTGGGGGGGTCAGGTTGGCCCTTGGGCGGGAGGGGGGGTCAGTAGCCCTCCAGCTGTGTGTGGGGGGCGCCTCCCCCTCTGCTCTCTAGCTGCACTTGGCATCCGGCATTCTGCCTTGAACTGCCGAGGACAACATCTATGCTTGTGTGTTGTGTGTGTGTGTGTGTGTGTGTGTGTTTCACTTGCACCCTTGTGCAAACTCGAAGCAGTGCCGCCCTTGCCTTGCCTGCAACCCCTCCCCCAGAGGAGAGGCAGCTGGTGCCCCCACCCGAGGCTGGCATGGGCCCCTCTACAGGTCTGGGCCGATGCAGCTTTTCTGACCCACAACTGGAAGTGACCAAGGTGGCAACCTGCCCCCCTCCCTTCCCCCCTCCAGTGAGTCCTTGACTGGGGAGGGGGGAGATGGGGGAGGGCCGTTGTGCTTCCCACAGAGACTGTGCCGACTGGACAGACTCCGCCTCCACCAAAACGGCACCCAGAGGCCCCCCCCCCCAGGGCACCACTGGGCAATCCTGGGTGAAATCTGGCTTCTTTGCAAGCCCCTCCCTCTCTCCTAGGCCCCTCCCTGATTTTCGCCCAGCCAATCTAGCTGCATCTGGGCCCCCTGCCCCCCTCCCTTCCTGGGCATCTCAGCCAAGCAGCCCCCCTCCCCAGGGCACCAAAGGAGACCCTCCCCCTTGAGAAGCCTGGGGGAAATCCATCGAGGCTCCCCGGGGCCAAAGGGAGGGAGTGGGGGGGGAGTGGGAGGCTCTCCAATGCAGCCGTACCTCTGCCATGCGCTGGTCCTCCTCCACGGGCACGAACTTGTCGTGCATGCCATGCACCAGCAAGACGGGCACGGTCAGCTCGGCGTGGTAGACCTCGTCCCCCTCCGGCCAGTACTGGCCACTCATCATGGCCCTCAGGACGAAGGAGGAGACGTTGAAGGCGTTGCCCTCCTTCAGCAGCTGCTTCTCCTTGGCACCCTGGCGGGCAAAGCCGGCTCTGCCGGGGAGAAGGGCATGGGATCAGCATGGTGGGCCGGGGAGGGGGGGGGGGGGGCCAAGACCCTCCACTTTAGGGCTGGGCCAAGGGAGAAGCAGGACCCCCAGGAGGAGAGGGTTGGTTCAAGGCAGACGGAGCCCCCATACAGGAGGGCAGAGCCCGGGAGGGTCATGGGGGGGAGAGATGCCAGGGGAGTCATCGTGGTCCAAGGGGCTACCTTTCCCCCTATTTCCCCCCCCCCCCAGAAGCTCGCTTGCAGACTCTCCAGGCCAGGCAGGGCAAGTGGGGGCCGGGGAACGAGGGCTGCTGTCCTCACCACCACTGGAGCAGCCACAGAGGCCCGGTGGGCAGCCCAGTCGTGCCAGGGGAGGCTCCCCGTGTCCCCCTCCTTCCCTCCCCACCCCAAGAGGCTCACTTGAGGAAGCTCCAGGCCAGGCAGGGCGAGAGGCAGCGCAGGACGCAGGGGGGCATGTTGAAGATGGAGCAGAGGCTGGGCTCCAGGGCGGTGGGGCCCCCTCCGTTCACCATAATCACTTTGTGCACAAGCTCCGGGTATTCGTGCGCCAGGAAGGTGCAGAAGGAGACCCTGAGACGGGGGGACACACGTGGGGAGGGGGGGAATGAGACGCCGTGAAAGGGGGGGGCCTCTCCGTCCCTCGTAGGGAAGCAGAGACCCTCCGTGTTCAGAGGCAATCTACGCAGGGAGTCCTCCACTGACAGCAGTTCATATAGTGACCGTTTGAGATTACAACGGGGCACTTTCCCACATGTATGGCCAATGCAATCCCCCCCCCCAGTCACGTGGTTACAATTGGGGGGCTGTTGCAGGGTCCCGGAAGGCCTTTTGGCAACCCCCCTGAGGAGCAAAATCAATGGGGGCAGCCAGACTCGCTTGACAACTGGGGTGATTTTCAGTTTAGCAGCAAAAGAGACCCACTGAACAATCAGAGGCAAGGCACTTCATCAGTTCTGGCTCTGGCCGTAAGTCAAGGACTCTCTGCCTGCAGGAGACCCCCAGGAGACCCTCCCCGGCCCCCTTTCCCCCTCACCCGTAGGAGTGTCCGATCAGGACGTTCCGTTTCTTGGCGTAGCGCTTGAAGACGCTGCGCAGGTCCTCGGCCAGGGCGTAGAAGGTGTAGGCGGCTGCGATCTGCGGGGCGGAGCTGGCCCCGTGGCCGGCCAGGTCGGGGGCCACCACCTCGTAGCCCAGCTGGGTGAAGAAGTCCAGCTGCTCCTTCCAGATGTCGGAAGAGCCGCCCACGCCGTGGATGAA